TTCTTAATATTTACTTCTTATAGGGTCTGAGTTCTCACAAGCAGCTCACCAGCCAAACTGGATCAATCCATTCTACATTTTGTACTGCTCTATTTCCTCTATGGGCATACCAGGTTTCCCCATCATTTATTCTGTTTTCTATGTCTATAAAAATGGAATGGTATAATAGTCTCACAAACCTTAATCTTTTAAAGATTAATGACATAACATTGAGGTCTAGATCCAGGGATATACCTTTATGAAGTAGACGTTGATATCAAACAGGACCACAGCGTCTCATAGCAGAGAGACAAGCTACAAGAAGTACATCTCTTCTTCCAAACACTGCAACTGTTCTCCTTGCTCAAATGTGAACACTGGATAAATCTTCTCTGCAAATAGAGCTCACCCATGACTATTCTAACATACTTAGTTGTGATGCTGAGTTGCATGTTCAATGACCCACCCTTTGTAGAATGAAGAGTTTGAATGTGGGAGGGAGAAGTATTGATGGACTAAAATCAGAGTTTAGGGGTTTTAATGGTAACTCTCCTTAAACAGCACATAGAACCAAATATTCTAATGTCCCTTTATGAGAATCGTGAGATAAATACAGAAATCAGCACAACATGAGGTCAGCGTTATCTGAATTTCTCTAACAGTCAACATAGACAGCTAAAAACAATCCTGAAGAATCAAGATGTGGTTTCATTATTTAATAGTTATGAAAATGTATATACACAATGACCTATGTGACAATGCATTAAAATGTAGTAAAATCTATGGTCAAACCGAATATATTAAGCTTTGAGAGAGTAATACAAACTCTTCATTGATTTTCAATATATTATTGCTCATGAAATTTGCTTAATTAACCATTTGAATCATGTAATCCCACCTTCTTTTTTTTGCTTAGTATCTGAACTTAAGAATTTACAAGGATTTTAGGCTACATAGGTAGTATCATTTATGACTCTCTCGTTTAAGAAATTAGATGGTACAGGCTGCATAAGTTATACAACTTTCACAAATCTTCACCATAAATATAAACCTGGGGGCTGGTGAGATGGCTTAGTGGTAAAACACACAATCTTCTCATGCAGAGAAACCCAGATTGATTCAGGCCAGGTGACAAATGTGCCTGATTCCAATGCTGAAGGTTTGATGCCAACCCAATAGTGAGTGGGGAGGCAGTGACTACACAAGGATGTCCTGTTGGGAAAAAAGGAACAAAATACAAAGAGAATACAAGTCTCTTGAAAATTTACTATGGAGCATTTAAATAAAAATATTAGTAGTAACTCCACTGAGACAAAAAAGATTTTATGAGTCAAAAAAGAACAACAATAACAAAAAACACATAGGCGCATCATCATTGTGGGATATTAAATGACATTATATGAACATATTCCATTACACAAACTCTGAATGGTGCTGACATAATATTTAGGACTCAAGAGAGTGAGTCTATTCTAATTCTAATTTTTCATATATTTGTTAGTAATACCAGCAAAACGTTAAACAAATTTGTGTGATCACTTCCAAAAGACTATTTCTGGAAGCCAATCCATCCCTGAATTAAAAACCATATAAGACATGAAACCTTCCCTCATCAATAATATACAAAGACAGAAGTGTATCTCCTGTAGGATCTGGGCATCAGTCTATTTCTTGGACCAGCTTATACAATAAACTTTTTTTTAGAATTGCAGGTTTCAAGTCAATAAAAAATATATCTGGAGAATGAAGTAAGAAAAAGAAAGAAAGGGATACATTAGATGTTATTACCTGAGGCAGAGAATTAAAGGCACACAATATTTCAATATAAAAACAGTTTTCCAAGTAATATGGATAGGCCACTGACCTGAGACACATTTACCTGAGATACAGCCATTCTCTCTGATAACTCTTCTCTCTGTTTCTGTTGTAGTATGAAAGACCAGAATTCTTGTTGATAACTTGCATCAAGGTATCAAAACATCAACCTAGAATTAATATAAATGTTATGAAGAATGTCAAATCACATAAAAAAGAAAAGGAACTAGGCCATTTCACACAAGAAACAGTTGAAAAGGGGGAGCTGGAGAACTATGTCCAAACATACCAAACCACAAACCATTATTTCCAAACAGAGGGAAGACAAAGATTGCTAATAATGTAACCAAACACAGTCTTTAAAAGAAACCTAAGAATAATATACATATCAAATAGAGCCCAGTGGTGATGAAAACTTCAGAGGACATACAGATGTCATAAGACATTTCAGCTACAACTGTGGTAAACTACTGAAGGATGTAAGAAGAAATGGAACACAGTCTAAAAGAGTAAAGGACTCTTGTGCCACAGCTGGTCCATCCGTGCAGAAAAGAGGCAGAAACCATCAGAAAGAACAACGTGAGTCAAGTGCTTGCACACTCAGGTCTTATTTCACCAGAGCTGTAGGAGTGGCATACAGCAAATGTGGGAGGACCAAACGACATTAACTCCTTTGTAATGAACATGTGATCACAGAAAGCACCTACAACTGTCACTCAAAGTTTGTCAGAGCTGAGATGTGCTTTAAGTGATACTGAAAACAACAAAACACATAAAATCTCTATTAAATTTCCTATATATCAATAAAGACAATTTCAAAAATAATTTTGAAAATTAGCTCATTTGTATTGCTTCAAGAAGGTCTAGGAATCCACCTAAGAAAATTTCTAAGAAATCATTTGCGACTAAAAGAAAACAATAAAAATAATAGCAAACAAGTTGCATGCACTCTGAAAGAATAGGATCTGCTTTGTTTATGACTAACAGCAATGGACAGAATCCACGCAATCCTTATCAATTAAAACTGAATTCTTCCTAATAGTAAATATGGAAAGAGGGAAAACCCAAAGTTCAAAATTAATCCTGAGAAGGTGCGTTACTGGTTGTATCACAGGACCTGACCTCAAATCATACTACAGAGCCTCAGAGGCAGACAGATCTTACTCCTGTGCATGAAAAAATATGTAGAAAGTTGAACAGAACATAGATAGAACACAGCAATTAAAATCAAACTGCAGAGGCCCATTTTAGAAAAATGTGTCAAAGAAAACCCATGAAAGGAGAGACCGTTGAACAGTCTGTGTTGGAAAAATAGTTGAATATGTGAAGAAGAAAAACATGACTAAATGCCTATTGATTCAAAAGTAAGCAGACACTGTGTCCTAGTTAAATTTTCTACTGCGGTGATGAAACACCATTACCAAAAAGAAAGTTGGGGAGGAAAGGGATGATTTTGCCTACCCTACGCATTGCTGTTTCTCACTGAAGGCAGTCAGGACAGGAACTCTAACAGGGAAGAAACTAGAGGCCAGAGCTGATGCAGAGGCTATGGAGGCTGTGACTGGCTGGCTTGCTTCCCATGGATTGCTCAGTCTACCATCTTATAGAACCCAGGACCATCAGCTGAGCACCACGGACCATGGGCTGGACACTGGCCCCATTGATCATTAGTTGAGAAAATGCATTACAACTGGATCTCATGGAGACATGTCCTCAGCGGAGGCTCTGTACTCTTTAATTACCCTAGCTTGGGTCAAACTGACATAAAAGGGCAGCTAGTACAACAGATCCCTTTCCAACTTGGCACAAATACATCACTCTTAAGCCACAACCTTTACTTTATTATTCATCCCTAAGATCTCACAATAAAAACATAAATAACGTTAAAGTTATGCAGTCTTTACAAACTCAAACATTAAAATTTCAGTCTCTTTTAAGTAGCCAAACTCCTTTAAAATCCTAAGTCTTTTAAACTGAAATCCCTCTTGAGCCTGGACTCCAGTAAAATACCTCCTTACATCAAGAGGGGAAAATCAGGGCATAGTTACAATCAAGTCAAAGCAAAACCAAATTCCAACATCACCCTGCTGCTGCTGCTGTTCTTGGTGGTCATCCCACGGTACTGGCATCCTTATAATGCTGTGGTCTCTGCTGCAGCTGGGCTGCACTTTCACCATTAGCCTTTCACAGTCTCTCTTCATGGTGCCAAGCTTCTATTTTGCATGACTCCTTCAATCCTGGTTGCTGAGACACCACTGACTGCCTCTTCACCAGCGACCCCTCCTGGCCTATCACAGTGGCAAGCCTCATCTACTCCCACGGCCACTTTGGAATACAGCTTTACTATGTTCTGAGGAAACACTTCCTAGATTATTTCACTTCACTGATGCTGCTCTTAATTACCTCGACTTTCTTAACATCAGCTGACCAGCATCAAGCATAACAGCAGCATAAGTGTTCCTTCAGTAGTTCCGGTATCTTGTTAACCATAGCTGACTCTCCAGACCCAGCTAACCAAAAACACAGAATCTCAATTGAAAATAACAAATGACCCAAATAGAGTCTTTAAGCTTTAACTGAAGCTGCATAAACCAGACCTCCATTATCTGCACTGCTGACAACACTGAAATCTTCCAGCCTCCCATAGAATATCCCACCAAACTCCTTATACTCAATGGCGCTTCTAATCTGGACTTCCAAAGTCCTTCCACAGTTCTCCCCAAAATCTAAACAGGTTTGTCACAGCAATACCCCACTTTGCTAGAACAAATTTGTCTTACAGTGTCTATCGCTGCAGGACAACATCATGACCTTAAAGCAAGTTGCACGGAAACATAGGAACCAGAGTGGGACTGAACTGCTACCTAAGACAGAGAGAGAACAAGCTCCGCCAGGAGCAGAAGCCAGGAACAAACCCAGTCCTGGGACCGGGCAGAGCAGGATTGAGCCAGCAACCCGATCCAGAGTCAATGATCTCCACCAAAACAGGTACAGGGGAGTGAGTAAGCCAGAGCCAGAGACTGCTGAGGGTCCAGACGTGAATCTGGGACCTTCAAGGGAGTAGACCTAAACCAGCACCCCAGTGGGTCTGGGTGAGAGTCTAGGTAGGACCTCCCAGGAACTAGGCCAGAGCCAGGACCTCTGTCAGCCTGGGAGTGAGTAAAAGATATGCCGATGAAGACACAAGAAGCTTACAGAACACCAAATAGACTGGATCTAAAAAAAAGTAATCTCACCACATAATAATCAAAACACTAAACACACAGAGTAAAGAAAGAATATTAAGAGCTGCAAAGGAAAAAGGCCAAGTAACATATAAAAGTAGCCCTATCAGAATTACACCTGACAACTTCTCATTGGAGACAATGAAAACCAAAAGGTCATGGTCAAGCATTATGCAGACATTTAGAGACCATGGATGCCAGCCCAGACTACTATACCCAGCAAAACTGTCAATCACCATAGAAGGACAAAACAAGATATTCCAGGACAAACCTAGATTTCACCAATACCTAGCCACAAACCCAGCCCTACACAAAATACTAGAAGGAAAACTCCAACCCAAGGAAGATGGCTACATCAAAAAAACAAAACAAAAGAAAACAAAACAGAGACAATTGATGATCTCAAAACAGCAAATCCCAAAGAAGAAAAAAATGCACAAATTAACATCACCAACAATGAAAACTAAATTAACAGGAGATAGCCATCACTGGTCATTAATATCCCTTAATGTAAATGGACTCAACTCACCTATAAAACGGCACAGGCTGAAAGACTGGATACAAAAACAGAATCCACCCTTCTTCTGCATACAAGAAACACATCTAAACCTTAAAGACAGACATTTCTCAGAGTAAAGGGTTGGGAAAAAAATATACCAACCAAATGGATCTAAGAAATAAGCGGGTGTAGCTATTCTAATGTCTAACAAAATAGACTTCAAGCTAAAATCAGTGAAAAGAGACAAAGAAAGTCATTTGATATTAGTCACAGGAAAAATCTATCAAGAGGAAATTTCAATACTGAACATCTATGCCCCAAATACAAGGGCACCATTATATGTCAAAGAAACATTTCTAAAGCTTAAATCATATATTAAACTGCACACACTAACAGTGGGAGACTTCAACACTCCCCTCTCACCACTGGACAGTTCAATCCGACAAAAAATGAACAGAGAAATAAGAAAACTAACAGATGTTATGACTCAAATGGACTTAACAGACATCTATAGAATACTCTATACAAACAGAAAAGAATATACCTTCTTCTCAGCACCTCATGGAACCTTCTCATAAATTGACCACATACTCGGTCAACAAACCTCAACAAATATGAAAAAACTGGAATAACCCAATGTACCTTATCAGATCACCATGGTTTACAAGTAGAAGTCAACAGCAATACGAATTCCAGAAAACCCACAAACCCATGGAAATTAAATAATGCTCACCTGAATCATCAGTGGGTCAAGGAAGAATAAATTAAGAGGGAAATTAAGTCTTCCTAAAATTCAATGAAAATGACCACACAACATACGCAAATTTATGGGACACAATGAAAGCAGTGTTAAGAGGAAAGTTCATAGCACTAAATGCCTACATAAAGAAGGTGAAAAAAAATCCCACACTAGTGAATTAACAGAACATTTGAAAACTTTAGAACAAAAAGAGGCAAACTCACCTAACAGAACTAGACGGCAGGAAATAATCAAATTGAGAGCCGAAATCAACAAAATAGAAACAAAGAAAACAATACAAAAAAATCAAGGAGAAAAAAAGTTGGTTCTTTGAGAAAATCAACAAAATAGACAAACTTTTATCCAAAGTAACCAAAAGGCAGAGAGAGAATATCCAAATCAACAAAATCAGAAATGAAAAGAGGGGTATAACAGACATGGAGGAAATACAAAGAATCATCAGGTCATATTTTGAAAATCTGGAGTTCACAAAATTGGAAAACTTAAAGAAAATGGACAACTTTCTGATTAAATATCACTTTCCAAAAGTAAATCAAGACCAGATAAGCAAATTAAACAGACATATAACTGATGAAGAAATAGAAACAGTCATCAAAAGTCTCCCTGCCAAAAAAAGCCCAGGACCAGATGGTTTCAGCTCAGAATTCTACAGGACTTTCTAAGAAGAACTAATACCAATACTCCTCAAATTATTCCACACAATAGAAACAGAGGGAACATTGCCAAACTCTTTTTATGAGGCTACAATTACCCTGATACTCAAAACACAGAAAGACATTACTAAGAAAGAGAATTACAGACCAATCTCACACATGAACATTGATGCAAAAATACTAAATAAAATACTGGCAAATCAAATCCAAGAACACATCAGAACCATCATCCACCATGATCAAGTTGGCTTCATCCCACAGATGCAGGGACAATTCAGCATATGAAAATCTGTCAACTTAATCCACCATATAAACAAGCTGAAAAATAAAAATCACATGATCGTCTCATCAGATGCTGAAAAAGCTTTTGACAAAATACAACATCCCTTCATGATAAAGGTCTTGGAGAGAGCAGGGATACAAGGAACATACCTAAACACAATTAAGGAAATATACAACAACTCAACAGCCAACATCAAACTAAATGGAGAGAAACTCCCAGCGATTCTACTGAAATCAGGAACAAGAGAAGATTGTCCACTCTCTCCATATTTATTCAATATAGTTCTTGAGATCCTAGCTAAAGCAATAAGACACCAAAGGGAGATCAAGGAAATAAAAATTGGAAATGAAGAAGTCAAACTCTCACTGTCTGCTGATGATATGATAGTTTACATAAGCGATCCCAAACATTTCAGCAAGGAACTTCTACAACTCATAAACTCTTTCAGTAATGTAGCAGGATATAAGATTAACTCAAAAAAAAATCAGCAGCCCTCCTGTACACAGATGATAAAAGGGCTGGGGAAGAAATTAGAGAAAAAAAAACACCCTTCACAAAAGCCACAAATAGCACAAAATATCTCAGAGCAACTCTAACCAAACAAGTAGAAGATTTGTATGACAAGAACTTTAAATCTTTGAAGAAAGAAATTGAAGAAGACACCAGAAAATGAGAAGATCTCCCATGCTCTAAGGTAGACAGAATTAACACAGTAAAAATGGAAATCTATAGATTCAATGCAATGCCCATTAAAATCCCAGCAAATTTTTTCACAGACCTCAAAAGAATGGTAGTCAACTTCATATGGAAAAGCAAAAAATCCAGGAGAGCCAAAACAATTCTGTACAATAAAAGAACTTCTGAGGGCATCACAATCCCTGATGTCAAACTCTACTACAGAGCTACAGTACTGAAAACATCCTGGTTTTGGCATAAGAACAGACAGGAGGACCAATGGAACTCAATAGAATACCTGGATATTAATCCACACACCTTCAAACCCCTGATTTTTGACAAAGAAGCAAAAAATATCAAATGGAAAAAAGAAAGCATATTCAACAAATGGTGCTGGCATAGCTGGATATCAACATGTAGAAGAATGAAAATAGACCCGTATCTATCACTATGCATAAAACTCAAGTCTAAATGAATCAAAGACCTCAACATAAAGGCAGCCATACTGAATTTTATAGAAGAGAAAGTGGGAAGTATACTTGAACTCATTGGCACAGGAGACCACTTCCTAAAAATAACCCCAGCAACACAGACCCTGAGAGAAACAATTGGTAAATGGGACCTCCTGAAACTGAAAAGCTTCTGTAAAGCAAAGGACATGGTCAACAACACAAACTGAAAATCTACACAATGGGAAAAGATCTTCATCAATTCCACATCAGATAGAGGTCTGATCTCCAAAATATACAAAGAACTCAAGAAATTGGTCACCAAAAGAACACACAATCCAATTTTTAAAAAAATGGAGTACAGACCTAAACAGAGAACTCTCAACAGAGGAATCTAAAATGGCTGAAAGACACTTAAGGAAATGTCCAACATCCTTAGTCATCAGAGAAACAGAAATCAAAACAACTCTGAGATTCCATCTTATACCTGGAAGAATGGCCAAGAATACAAACACTGATGACAACTTATGCTGGAGAGGTTGTGGGGAAAAGGGAACACTCCTGCATTGCTGGTGGGAATGCAAGCTGGTACAGCCCCTTTGGATGTCAGTGTGGTGATTTCTCAGAAAATTGGGAAACAACCTTCCTCGAAGACCCAGCAATACCTCTTTTGGGTACATATCCAAAAGAGGCTCAATTGTGCCACAAGGACATGTGCTCAACTATGTTCATAGTAGCATTGTTTGTCATAGCCAGAACCTGGAAACAACCTAAAAGCCCCTCACCAAAGAATGGATAAGAAAAATGTGGTACATTTACACAATGGAGTACTACACAGCAGAAAAAAATAATGACATCTTGAATTTTGCAGGAAAATGGATGAAGCTAGGTAACATTATTTTGAGTGAGGTAACCCAGACATAGAAAGACAATTATCACATGTGAAAGCCAGCCTACAAACCACAATCCCAGAGAACTTAGACAACAATGGACACACTAAGAAAGACTTTCATAGATATAATCTACATGGGAAGTAGAAAATAGAAAAAGACAAGATCTCCTGAGTAAATTTGGAGCATGGGGACCATGGGGGAGAATTGAAGGGGGGAGGTGAGAGAGGCAGAGAGGGGAGCAGAGAAAAAATGTAGAGCTCAATAAAATATGTATATCAATAAAAATGTATAAAAGAAAAAAGCAAGTTGCAGGGAAATGGGTTTATTTAGCTTATACATCCACACTGATGTTCAGCACTGAAGGAAGTCAGAATAGGAACTCAAATAGGGCAATATCCTGGATACCAGAGCTGAAATGGTGGCCATGGCGAGGTCCTTGCTTGCCATGGATTGCTGAGCATGCTTTATTGTAGAACCTGGGACCACCATGCTGGGCATGGGACCACCCACTACAAACTGCCCTCTCCCAGTGGTCATTAATTGCCAAAATGCCTTACAGTTGGATCTCATGGAAGCATTTGTTCAACTCAGATGCATTCCTCTCTGAAGATTTTATCTTGTGTCAACTTGACTATATGAAGTCAGCCAGTAAAAGCAGTCTACAAGAAATTTTAGGAGAAATATAAAAATCCAAGACAACTGAAAAATGTATTCCATGAACAAAAATTCTGTAAAGGTTAGACAAATATTCACAGAGGGAATGGCAGCTAAGAGAGTAACCTAAACACTTAGCAGGTTTTCTTCTCAGTAGTGATTAATAGATAGATGATACAAAATCCTGAGTAGTGTAAACTCATGATGTCCAACCCATGCAATACAAAAATGGAATAATTGAAAAATTACAGAGATTTCATTATACAAAAGGACAAATAAACCATATATCTATATTTATCTCTATATACACACATATACATATGTATTTTAATTTTTTAAAAAACATTATTTTTATTTTTGTGTACCCATGTTTGTCTTCCCTGCACATATTTGCATACCATAAGTGTTCGGTGCCAAGAGAAAATAGAAGAGAAAATTGGGTTCTCCAGATCGAGTTAAGGACAACTGCGTGTTATAATGTAGGAGCTGAGAAGCAATCTGTGTCTTTTGCAAGAGTAAGTAATGCTCCTAATGCTTGAGACATTTCTAGAATGACTGAAAAATGAGTTCTAAAGGACTCATGATCCTTAGTCATGAAATTACAAAGTCAAAACCAAAGTTCAGTGATTGCCAGCATGGTCAGAATGGTTAATATTAAGTTACAACACATTTAGGCATGGTGGGGATGCCTTCAACCTCACCACTCCAGAGGCAGAAGCACATGAATTTCAGGGTGGCGTGGTCTATGTAGATGGTTCCAGGTCAGCTAGATAATCATAGTGAGGCCATCTCAAAAATACATTTTAAAATGTATAGTAACATATGGAGGTAAGGGGATGGAATATTAGGATCTTCTTTCACTCCTGATGGGCAAGTCACTGAAGTCCATTCTTTGTCAAGGTTTCATGTCACAATCTTACCCGTCACAGTTAAACTGAGTTTTCACTCATAGTTCCCAAAGTTCTCTCACACACAGACTTGCATACTCAGGGCTGACTGATACATTATTCACCAACATCTGGGAATGGAAACAGCCCAGATTCAAAGGAACAGATTCAGGGTTAAAAATGACAAACAGGAATCTAGGATTAAAATCGATAATAGTGAGAATGACATTGAGTGAATGACTAATGATAAAGTAAAACTCCTCCATGTTTTCTTAGTTGGACAAATTCCATATTTCTTTTTTGTCAGTGTGCTTGTGGTTATGGTCTATGACTCCACACAGAGGGACCCAAGGTAGGAACAAGATCTCACAATAGGATTAGGAATAAATGAAATAATGATTCTTGGAAGACTGGCGAAGACAGTATTAAGAACGGAAGGTGGCTCCCATTTATGCTTCAGAATAAATTTACAGGAGAAAGGGCATGGAAAGAATCATGTGGCCTTGAGACAGAAGTAGAGCGCCACTGTGTTCTTCATATGGCTTACGGCCTTCAAGAATGCACAGATGTCTCTAGCTCACAATTTAGGAAAGGGACAGCTTCACTATTGGGACAGCTTCACTAATGTTCAGGGGAACACTGTTAGTGATCTGGGAAAATATAGAACACTGCCTTTTATGTGAATCTCTGGTCAGTCAGATCCTGAGGAAATGGTTGAGGGTCTCTCAGATGTGCCATCTTTGCACGTATGTCCCAGTTCTTCTAGTTGTTAGAAAAGAGCTAGAATACACTGTCTCAATTTGACCAAATTTCACTTCATTCTAGCTGGAATACCCGGGCATGTATTTAGCATTTGTTTCATGCTCTCTTGGCAAACAGACATATTATGCCTGTCTTTGAAATATCACATTTTTCTTAACATAGTTAACTTGTTGTCAGTCAGGTTAGAACATTTCCCATCATTATCCAAGTAGACCAAGAACTTGTACACTGAGGTAAGGTATACTCTTCTGAGACCCAAGTATTTAAGTAGGAGGGTCAAGCATAGGTATGACATTTGTGAACCTCTAACCCTGAACTGAGCTACTGCGTCCTCTTCAGACTGGAACAGAATTGACGAGGTCTGAAACTGTCTCTAGGCACTCAGCGTATTGGAGGGGAGAGTGAAGAATTAAACGAAAGGAAATTATACAGGAATGATCTCTGTTCCTTGACAATAATACAGATGTGGAAGAGGAAGTAGTCACGATGTGGTGGTGTTTGTGGCCTACTTGGCCCTTTGGGTACAGTGCTTACAGCTGAGTTACTTTGATGCTTGCAGCACAGTTGGCAGGGCGCTTCTGACTCAGTGAGTAGAGTGTCTGTATCTCCGTAGACAGAGTGGGTCCAGCTCAGTGCTTAGAGTGCTTATAGCCCATTGGATATATTGCCTGTAGAGATGTCAATCCTCACTCCCCCTCTTTTTAATCTTCAGGGTCTCTGACTCAGACTGACTACTTCTGTGAGGAACCAGGTGGGAGAAAAGGGTGCATTTGGCTTCATGTGCTGTCAGTGCTCATCAACTCAAAGCTGGAAGCTGAGTTACTACAGTGCTTGCAGCTCAGCACTGGGAAACTACCTGAAAGAATCCCCATTCCAGCTAGGAAAAAAGGACTCCAGCAAATAACCAAGGCTCAAAGTAGACTTCAGATACTATAATAAAGACACAAAGTGCAGAATCCACTGTGTCACAGCCAGGGTAGGGTACAGCTGTCCTTCCTTCCTTCCGTCCGTCCTTCCTCAGCCCTTTCATCCATTGTGCTGTGTCCAGAAACAGAGGTTTCTCCTAGTTCCTCTCTCTCTCTCTCTCTCTCTCTCTCTCTCTCTCTCTCTCTCTCTCTCGTATGCGTGTGTGCACGCATTGGACTATTGTACACAGCCATCCATAAATCACTATGGATCAGAATCAATTTTTCCCCCTTTCTAGATGGCAATTCTGCATTTTTCCCTCTTTTTCAACTTCAGGGTCACTGTCTTAGTTAGGCTTGCGGTTACTGTGAGGAAATCTGTGACTAAGAAGAACCTGGAAGGTTTGCCTGCCCTATCAGTGCTCATCAATGAAGCACACCATGACAATTTCAAACAGGAATGTGACCTAGAGACAGGAGTTGGTCCAGAGGGTATAGAGTAGTGGTTCTCAACATGTGAGTTGCTAACTTTTGGGGTGATGTTGGATGACCTCTTCAGAGGGCTAACATATCAGATGTCATACGTATCAGATATTTACAATGTAATTAATACAGTAGCAAAATTAAAGTTATGAAGTAACACGATAATAATTTTTGGGTTACGGATCAACTCAATATCAGGAACTATATAATAGGGTTGCAGAATAAGAAAGGTTGAGAGCCACAGCCATAGAGGAATGAGGATGAGAAGTCTGCTGAGGCTGAGTTCTTGTAAAATCCAGGACCACCATTCCAGGGATGGTGCCTCCCACAAGGAAGTAGGCCCCCCACATCAATCACTAATTAAGAAAATGCCCTTCAGGTTTGCCTGGAGAACAATCTTATGGAGGCATTTCTTTAACTGAAGTTCTGTCTTCTCAGATGACTTTAGATCATGTCAAGCTGATGAAAAAATATCTGTCCTAATAATTATTGCCTTATTCTCTGCTGTGAAGGATGAAGTTGACGGTGGCTGAAGGAACTTGTGCATGGAGTAAGACTGCTTGTTGTAGAATATTATTTTAATTATGTGTTACATTTGTTTATATTGCCTATGTTGATTTTGTAAAAATGTGTTTATGCTGCATTTGTTGAATTTTGTAAATATGTGTTGCTGTCATTTTACCTACCTAAGTCACCTAATTGGCTTAATAAAACCTGAACAGTCAATAGCCAGGCAGCAGGTAGGTAAAGGGGCATGCAGAGAGAAAACGCCCAAGGAGGGGTAAGAGAACAAGGAGAAAGAGAGGGAGACACATGGGCCAAAAGCCAGGTAGTCACCAGAGAGACCGACATGAAGACATCGGAAAAGTAAGATAAAGAAAGAAAGAAAGAAAGAAAGAAAGAAGGAAGGAAGGAAGGAAGGAAGGAAGGAAGGAAGGAAAGGAAGGAAGGAAGGAAGGAAGGAAGGAAGGAAGGAAGGAAGGAAGGAAGAAAGGAAGAAAGGGAAGAAGTCTCAAGGCAAAACTGGAATCAGAGAAACAGGATAATTTACATTATAGGAGCAAGTTAGCCAGCATAAGCAGGAGCATTCATAACTAATAATAAGTCTCTGTGTCATGATTTGGGAACTGGTTGGTGGCTCAAAGGAACCCTGTTACAGTATGTGCTGTGGTGGCAAAGCCTTTAATCCCAGCACACAGGGGGCAGGCAGGGCAGGCGGATCTCTGTGAGTTCAAGGTCAGCCTGGTCTACAAGAGCTAGTTCCAGGAAAAGCTAGGGCTGTTAACAGAGAAACCCTGTCTTCAAAAACAACTTAAAAAAAAAAAGAAAAAGAAAGAAAGAAACCCTGTTATTGCTGCCACAGCTTTCAAGGATGGATTTAACCAGAGTCCAGAGCAGGAAAAATGGAGGGATGTTAGGAACACAGAGAACTTTCTGCCAGATCTTCAAGTATTTAGTCATCCTGCCAGAGGCTAGAAACATCTCTTCTGTTGTACAGTGTTGAGACTGGGGCCCAGAAGGAGCCTTGTACTATATTTAAATCTACCTGCATATTTCTTTCCCAAGTCTTTTCTCTTAAATTTCAAAATCTTTGGCTATGTTTGAGCCTCACAGTCGTTTTCATGTGGGTAACTAGAGGACAGGATACACTCCTGTATGTTCAAAAAGGTCCGAGAAGAACACCAAGATTGTGTAATAATAGTAAAACTGGGTAGTAGTGGGGGCTGGAGAGATGGCTCAGAGGTTAAGAGCATTGCCTGCTCTTCCAAAGGTCCTGAGTTCAATTCCCGGCAACCACATGGTGGCTCACAACCATCTGTAATGAGGTCTGGTGCCCTCTTCTGGCCTGCAGACATACACACAGACAGAATATTGTATACATAATAAATAAATAAATA